CAATTCTTTTAAACTTTTGTAAACATTTTTGAAAGAAGTTCAAACTGTACATTGGAATATATGTCTTTCTGACAAACAGTTGATATTTAACTATTTCACGGAAATCACTTCCTTTTTTTTTTGATGTGATCGACAAATTGACATCCCAAACATGAAGTAAAATAACACAAGATCGGAAAATGTGGTTCGATACAGTGAAAACCTTGCTGAGCTAAAACCTATGTGGCACTGAATGTTGCTCAATCATTTTCCTCGCAGATGAAGAAGAGACTTGAAGTGATGTCGATATGGATGCACCAACAAATGCTAAGAATAATATAGACCGAAAATATGGAAAACAATCTTGACTTAATGGAAATAAGAATTACCAAAAATTAAAAACGGAAATATACATCTGGATTTTCTGAGAGACATTATGAGGATAGACGTTCTGGAAGATTTAACACCCACAGAACATATTGAATCTCGAGATTCATGGACAGACAAACATTATTCTTTCAATGAGCTTATGTGAAAGTTTGGCATAAAAAAACAAATAGTTATAATTAGTAGTGGAATGTCGATTCAAGAAAAAAAAAGAGGGAACATATTTAGAGACATTATCGCCCACACAGTGGAGAGACATGTCACCTAAAATGATATATTTCTATTTCCCTGGACAGGATCAATCGCCCGCCTCATTTTTAATGTAATTTTACTAATCTTCTAGATAATCTTTGTGTTTGCGTTTATCCATATTTCAGCCAAATTCGATGCTTAATTCCCGTTTGTTTTCTTACCATTTTCTTGTATTTTTTCAATTATATTCCTGCTTTGCCATCTAATATGAATATTTTTTCTCCGTTCTTTCTTGGTCGGTACGGGGTAGATAGTATCAGCAATGCTCTTCATTACTCCCAAACTTTCTACAATTGAAAATACCAGAAGCCGTAAGGCGGTGTAACAGATAATGGCTCGGTATTGTTAATCGGAGAGCTGAGTTCAGTTTCAGTTGGGGTCGTTATATACACTTATGCGAAAAATATCACTAGGTAAACTATTAATGTTCATCACTCTTTTTATTATTCTTGAAGTCATCAATGAAGCAGTGTGCAAACGATGAACTGTAACAAACCGAAGAAACCACTTCCCTTGAGGATTTTAACAGCCTTAACGTTGGATATGTAACTAGAAGAGTGATAAATGACTATCAAGATGCTGATGTTCCACAATCTCAAAAATCTGACAGGCAAGAACCCCTGTATTAACAGTGAAGAAAGCGATATTATTCTACTATATTTAAGAAACCTATTTCTCAGTAAAATCATTGTATAAATCTTGCATGAATTTCAACCGTTTGGTCAATGTTAGTCGAATGTTTCTTTATACGGAAAAGGATATATTTTTTCATTACTATTGCATAGTCTCAAATGTCATTCAAATATAGAAGTGCTACAGCAATTCTGAGCGATATTCCTTGAATGGTTCTGGTGTTCAAGCTACTGTTTATACTATTGTTATCTGCATATTCCTTACTCAGGAATAAATACTTTCTAATGACTGAATTCTTTTAATCTTTATGTTAGCGAACAGAATATTAGTACAGGTGTTCTTTACCAACCCTGTTACATCTATTTTTTTTTATTTTAGGATTAGATTTTTTCCTGAATTTCTGGGATGAAAATGTTCCATTATTTACATGATTTTCATCCTGAATAATTTGTCATTATCAAATATTTTGGGGCCAACTGATGTCTGACCCTTTTTCCGTCTCTTTTATTATCTGTTTGGCCAAATGAATGTTTTTATAAATATGAGATAGACGAACAGATCAGTACATTATTTCTTCTATTTCTTCATCTTCATTTTGCCGTTTACTTTCAGGACGTGGGCAATCACAGAACTTCAAAGCCCCCCCCTCCTCACTATCCTTTTTAGTTCTCTTCCTTTGTCATTCATTTCACCCACTGTTCCGTTATCCATTCACATGATGGTCAGGTTGGTGATATGGTGAATTCTCCAGTCCCTTGTTTGCCATGTCCTCTGCGTATTAAATTCGCCAAACCGTCCTCCCTTATTATATATCTCAGTAATTTCATCTGTCTCTTTCTGATTCTGTGTACAAGTATTTTTTTCCATTTTCACCGAGATTTATTTGGCATCCATCTGAAGAATCACATTGCATTTCAGAAGAGCTTCTCCAGAAGAGATTCTCCAGAAGAGATTCTCCAACAGTACACCATTGCATAACAGTTTTCAGTTCTATCGGGCTTATAGCCACATCATGTTGAAACAGCAGTTCCTATACGATCACCGAAGTTACGCAACATCGAGCCTATTCAATATCGAGATCGGTGACCGCTTGGCAATACCAGCAATTGCGAGTTTTGATGCGCCTGTGGTGTAAGGTATAAATCGGAGGGAAGAGTTCCAATTCCACTTGGGTTCGTTTACTTATGCGTAAATAACCTTGGGAATGTTATGAATTCAACTCTTCTCCGCTCCAGTTACGAGTAAATTAGTAAGATTTTTTTATCATTAAAATCCTATTATCTCCCATCTCCACAAAAATCTTACAATCTAAAAATATTTTCTGGTTTTAAATAAACGGCAAAGGGTTAAAATGAATGCATCAAACAATTCTAATGAAAAAAAAGCTGTTTCTTAGTACTACGCTTAATTTTTGGAATTCATCAATTGTTATTCAAATACGCACTCAGATTTTGGTATTTCCCTTTCCGTCTTCTTTTACTTTAATTTCCATGTAGTTAAACGTCTGTACTTATTCGATGTTGACATCCCCAATACGTGATTGGCATCTTGAGTGTGTTCTCTTGCTGACAACCATACATTCTACCTTCTTATAGTTGATGCATAACACTTTTTTTTCTCGCTTTCATATACTACTTTGTCTCGCGGGTTCTGATGGTTTTACTTCTGCATCAGCTTACATCTGCGTACCTTACATCGCTAAGATTGCGCTCACCGATAAAAAAAAATCAATCGACAAAGTGTCTTTCACTCCCTTAGCATCAAAGTAAAATTTGAATATATCCGTTGAGAAGACACACCCTTTTCTTACGCCCCTTAAAATTGGGAAGTTAAAAATGTGTTTTTAAAATGTTTGTCTTCTCTTTCTATGTATCACTCCCATTCAGGATGTAGGTGATCATGGGTCTCCACAATTTCCTGGCCTTTATATTGTTTTGTGTTATTGTTGTGGATTCCGGAGATGGAATCCGGTACCAATAAATAACAAACGCCAAGAAGTAATATTTAGTAAAAAAAAAAAAAAAATTACTAAATATAAATTGGATTGCTCTTTCAATGTTCTGTCTATGGATTTTTCCAATCGACTGTTTCATAGAAAATACCCAAAACTCCACCGAATTTCAAATTAATTCCTTCGTAGATTGTTTTAAAATTTAGATATTTATCAAACCTTAACCTCCCAAATATGCACCTTAAAATAATGCGAACTGACAGCGTCTAAGAATTTGAATGAAACCTGTCGTGTAATTTATTGGGGTTGTTGTAACGTCTTCCTTTAATGTAGTTCTTATCGTTCACCCCTTAGCCACCTTTATCTAGACACGAGACGCGTTAAATTTGAGCAACATCTAGCCGACACACTGGGGTTTAAATAGGAAACTAAAATAATACATATGACACACTCATATCCTCTCTCTCACCTCACTTCCTCACTTCGTTAACTTTGCGTATACTTGATGAGGTCCGTAAAAAACGTGTGAATTTCTTTTCATTTTTCATTTCAGCTTTTGGAAGTAAAGTCTGATGACCAGAACCCTGTTAAAGGGGTTATGGTGAAATAGCTTATTACATGGAATCTTAACGTGGTCTGTCTTTTATTCAAACATATCCGCTCTGAATTTTACATTGAGCTCTCTGGATATCATCCTCCTCAGGTCTACCCATACGGATTACCTAAATTTGCATAAACTAAATATATATATATATATATATATATATATATATATATATATATATATATATATATATATATAGTCTTTGTATCTACGTATCACTGTATGACTTCTTACTGAGTCTACGTGTTTGCTCACTGTGACTCTTGCTCGTTACGTTCGTGCTCGTTCGTCGCTTGTTCGTCCATCTTTCTCGTTCTTCTTGTTCGCTCCCTGGTAGTATATGTATACTCTGGGTGAGTCCATTTGTGTAAGAAGGGGAGAAACCCTCAACAGTTATCTCTCCTAAACCTTGTTCAGGCATCCATTTAAGTTTGCTAGGTAGGTTATGCGTTGATTCCTCCGTCTCTTCCGTCAGTCTTGTGGATATAACATTTTTCGAGACATCTTTCCTTATTATGTAGACTAGAAATTTCAACTGGCTATTCTTGATGTTAAGTATAAATGTGCTGATTGTTTCAATTTTCTCTAAAACTTCATCGCTTCTTAAAATGATCAATCCATAGTATTCTCATCATCCTTTTGTAGAACCACTTTTATGTTATTTCAACTTTCTTCATTGTCATTATAGCAAGAGTGATATTACACAGTATTTCAGTATATTTCTAATTTCTAACGAAATCCTCCTGTTTCTTAATACTTTGCTTAGCTTTTGGAAGTCATCTTTCGATCTGGCAATGCGCCTTCGAATTTTAATGCCGCATTTTCCGTACCCCATTACGTACTTTCCCTTTTAAATCGTTGTAATATATTAACTGTGGTATTTCAAATTTGTAATTTGCATGCTGGGCTGTTTCTTTTGCAACAACCCTGCATTCTGTTTTCTTACTAAAGCTAATCAATTTATAGGTGACTTACTACTTTTTGTTTGTATTTTTTGGAAATATACCTGAAAAGACAATTGTATATGTCTTTAGTCAGTAATTTTTAACGCCATTAAGCATGAATCGAAATCTGTACGTTCGTAGTGAATTTAATGAGACATTTAAACTATATTCTTTTATAAATCTCAGCCGCTAAATTTATGAACGCTGTGGCATCTCCTTTGAATAGACTTTACCATTGCCATGTTTGTTT